TTGATTGTTGCAGCATAGATTCGCCGAGAGACTTCAGTGTGAGTGTCACCGGGCTCAAAAGCTCCAACAGAGCGGTCGCACTTGAAGAGCTCAATCGGCCCGTCGACCTGCTGTGAAGGGCAGCTACCTACCTTGGCCACGATGGACGAGTCTGGCAAGAAGAAGCGATCTAGAAAGGTGAGTTGATGCACACTGACTTGCGACCAGTCTGGCGAGCATGTCCGTCTCGAGGTGGAGAGCTGCGATGAAGCATGTGGGGTGGGGCGTACATGAGTAGGCATGTGGTCATGCTGCAAACCCTCGTCTGCACCACTTCTGCTCACGCGGCGTTCTGGCCATACATTGCGATAGCGCGCAAAACGATCCGCCGCTGCGGATGTTGGATCTACGCACAAAGAAGTCAGTGCAGCATCGCCTTCGAGGCTCGAGACGGAAGCATCCGCATCGAAAGAATTCCTGCATCGCAACAATCCCTACAAGCCTTCGGGCTTTGCCAGCTCCGCGGGGAATAGCCAGCCTCAGCGCGGGACAGATGCGGCGACGCAGTCGACATTGACATCCGCTAGAGGTCACGTTCGTGAACGCCCAAGGGAGGATAATGGAAGGGACTGGACTCTGAGTGTAGCTCTGCCTGGCTCGATCATCCTCAACGCCCAGACTCCCGAACTGCAAGCCAGGTTGGCCGGCGGCTTGGCTCGTACATGCGCGATCTTCAATGTGGACGAGGTCATCGTCTTCCACGAAGATTTAAAGGCTGTTTCGCAAGGGCATGATTGGACGGGCGGTCGACGCAAAGCAGCTGCAGGTCATCAGAGAGCAGAGGCAGGTGCAGGTGCAGACGGGACCGAGGAGAGGAGTGCATTTGATCCAGACGCTTTCTTGGCGAGGATCTTGCAGTACCTCGAAACCCCTCAGTAAGTGCTGTGGGCGGGCATGGTCTGCGCATGTATGCCGACAAGGACGAGACGAACATCATTTGACCTTGCACCGCTTGTTCTTTTTGGCTCAGGTATTTGAGAAAAGCGCTGTTCCCGATGCACAAAGATCTGCGCCTTGCAGGTCTGTTGCCGCCCCTAGACTGCCCGCATCATCTTCGGTACGAAGACGTGTCGACGTTCCGCGAAGGCGTCGTGGTCGAATCAGACTCCAGCGGACATCGCGGCAAAAAGAGGAGGTACAACGATGGTGCTGCGCCTAATGGAACCGAGCAGCTTGTGGAGGTGGATGTGGGACTTGGACAGCCGATCCATGCGCGAGTATCTGGTGATGGCCCTTCCGCCAATGAGAAGGTACCCACAGGGGTACGCGTGACCGTCAGAATGCCACCGCATGCTGGTGCAGTAGGTGAGTAGCAACTTCAGAATCCGATGTCGTGAGAATCGCGTTCCACCGACACTTGAGTGGACGCTTCTTACGCACACAAATTTTTTGCGCGTCCCCAGGCAGGCTCGTGTCTCCTCGACAGCCAGTCAAAGAAACGGGAGGATACTGGGGCTACTCGGTGCGGCTGTGCAACAGCTTGTCAGAAGTCTTGACGACGTGTCCCTTTGGGCGCGAAGGCACAGCCCCGTTCGACGCATCCCAGGCAGAGTACGATCTCGTCCTGGGCACTTCTGAGCGAGGCACCAGTCTGACGGAGCTGCTTGAAGGTGCTGCTACTGCCACGAGTGTGACTTCGCAGATGGATACTGGTCGACTGAAGCCATTCAAGCATGCCCTCTTGGTCCTCGGCGGTCTTTCGGGCTTGGAAGTCATCATCGACCAAGATCCGACGATTGATCTGGGAGCTCATCAAGCTAGTCTGCTCTTTGACGTCTGGATCAACGTGCTGGAGAAGCAAGGTAGCAGGACAATTCGAACAGAGGTGAGTGCAGCGACTCTAACGCAACCAAGAGCAGGAATCTGACGCTTCCATCCACTGCTTGCGCGTCGATAGGAGGCGATGCCCATTGCGTTGGCACGACTCAAGACTTTTTTCGAGGCGTATGGCACCTGAATCATCAATAGATCATGATGCGCTACAATGTACCCGAGGAGCAGGTTGCTTCGCAGTCAGCTGTCTGAGAACGATGCACGATTCACGATTGATTGGCGAGTTGCTTTGGACATCCTATCCGAACACAGATTGGCGCATCACAACATCGAGAGCGGGCCGGATTAAGAGGTTTGAGACTTCTACACGTTCCCCGCCGCCCACGCAGAATTGACGGGATATCGAGAAGGATCGTTGATGTATGATGTGATCACTCACGACTTTCTATGCACTCCGCGCCGCTGCCCATGGAAGCAAAAAGCCGCACTGCACGGCTGCTGCAGGCACTCTGAGAACTCGTCATGCTGACTTGGACGCGCGGCGGTATGGACACGTCACTCGCTGACTTGCATGGGCTGTCTATTTGCGCGCGCAAGAAGCGCCCCGCTTCCGCCCGCGGCCGCGGCTCACTTTTGGGGCGCGACGCTCGGGCCTCTTTTGCAAGAGGCATGCAAGCAAGCGTGCGCTTGCGCATCCATCGATCGACGCGCGGATGCCACTGTGACTCAAGAATTTGACTCTGACTGCGCTGCGCTGACCTCTTTCCTTCGCTGGCCTTCGGCGCGAGGTGGATGTTCGCGGTGTGGAGGGCGAAAACTTCTCCATCATCAATCAGCAGTCGTGAGTACATCACCGACCGCCTCACTACACAGCACCAGACGGCTTGCCAATGCTACAAAGCAGAAGGCACGAGATCAGTTGCCACTGCCCGCTCGTGCAGCCACTCTGATCTCGCCTCGCTCAACTCTGCGTTCCATCCATCTGTATTCTCTGCTCTGTGGCGCGGCGGAGGACGCAATCAGTGACTATTGATGGATGTCTCATGTCGAGTGATCGCACGAGGCCTTTCGTCGCCGCGGTGACATGGAGAGACTGCTGACCTTAATTGTGTGTGCTGCGAATTGATGCTGGCCGTGGCCCCCCCATGATGGCCATACCTGATGGCCTAGCAGTCTAGCACCGCATCGATTTCGCAGCATCAGCGCGTGCA